AAAAAAAAAAAAAAATTGTTAAAATTGACAGTCGCCTTCTGTCGCGGCCGCCTCCAGTGGTGGATTTCAACAAATTATATGTCATTTTGAAACCCTCGACTCGACCTATCCAACGGTATCTTTTATTTAACCATATCATACCTCGAAGTTTGTCAGAATCATCAGTAAAGGATCAAAATAATTTTTGCCAAAACACGCCTTAAAGTTCGACTGAGTGTTAGTGAAGATCCCACCGATAGATTTTTATGAATAATATATGTATGGAAACTAATTTTTTTTAGGAATTCAACGGTATGTTATGATGATCAATCAAGTTTCCAGATCATCGGAGATAAACCCAAAAAATGTCTAGCTTTCCGGTGAGTTGTGGCCACTGTGGTGCAGTATGACAGGCACTTATGTGCATCAAAGTCTGAAGTTCAAGAGTTCTCAGGAATTCTCTTCAAGTTTTAAAGACGTTCTTAAAGATCCAAGGTCTGCAGCCAAGCATTCGAATCCCCTAAGTACATTCAATGAATAAGAAAGCCAAGAAGAAGAAAAAGAGGCAACAACTCTTCTCCAAGACGTAAAGAGACGACATCCACTCGTACGTCTCAAATCAATTCAAGAATATCAATGGCGTTCAAGCATCATTCATGTCACGTTCGTTGAGAAGTTCAAGCAATATAGCGTTTGATCCGAGAAAGAGCTATCAAGACCTCGACTCAACGTTGTACAAGTCTAAATTCATATTTGAGGGTCCCAACCCAAATTCATGAAGAGAAAAATTACAGGGGACATATAAAGGTTGCACCCCAAAATCGTTTGATCGAAATAAATTCAAGATATACAAACATATATGTTTTTCATAAAATTTATTTTTACAGAGGTATAATTTTGGCTTTTTTTATGATCATCAGACATAATGGTTAAGATGTATTCTTATTTCTTGTACTGAACATTATTTTTACCGGAGTGCGACCCTAATAGTTTGACAAATGCAGTTCGGTATTATGAGATAAGACCTAAATTTGGTAGGTACAATTCTTGAAAATTTATCACTGCGTTCAATGAAGTTTCACAAGTCACGGTGTAGGTGAACTTAGGGCAATTATCCAACTTTGTGTATTGAACCCAAATTATATGATTAAAAAAAAAATACTACCTCCTGTTTATTATAAATGTCGTTTTGACTTTTTTGATTCATCCATTTTGTTATGTATCTAGACATTATGTCTAGATACATAACAAAATGGATGAATCACAAAAGTCAAAACGACATTTATAATGAATAGGAGGGAGTATGAAGATTTACCGGTAATTGGTCAGTCGGTGGAATAAATTCCTTACCTGTGTGGGTTTGTGTGTGTGCAGTCTGTTGGTCTATGAGTTCAAAATAAGTCCGATAGCTCGTGCATGAGAGCCTGTGAGGACTTAAATGTCGGTTTTAAGCTCCATCAAGATATTGCCCGCTGACAGTGATGAGAGGAAAATTAATTTGAATCGATGGGATGAGAATTCCAAATTCGAATAGGATGAGAATTTGGATATGATGGGTTCCAGCTTCTTCCTAGCATCAACAGAAAGTAGCCATCTGCTTCAATCGAGTACCCATCGAAAAGATAAGAATGACATTCCTACCCTTAACACCACATTTGAGAGTTATATGAGTGGTTTCCAGTGCACTCCATGTCCCTAACAACTATTAGGTGAACTGATGAAATAGCATACTAGAGAAGGTTGTTTGTCTACAAAATGTTTCGGACATAAAATAAAAAATTTCGCAAAGAAGAAGATGCCACAGAAAATCCCATAAAAAAGGTCATAGCAATACTGTTGTAGGAATATAAGTTAAACACACGCATATATATAATGAAAACATCAGTATACCATTATCCAAGACCATGCGAATTTAAACCTCCAACTTAATACTTAATAGAGGAGGCCTTTGACAGTTCTAGTTAGAGCTTACCTTCATCTGGCTAGGATCGGAAACCGCCAATAGGCGTTTTATGAATGTGTTCATTGCCACCACAACATCCTCCCCGGCGCTACTTGTTAGCTCCCAAGTCACACGAAGACTCTAATTCAGGCTAAGAATTTTTGCACAATAATGATATTAATTGAAATAATGAAGGGGGCACTAACAATTTAGTCTTGGTAACACTGACATAACGGAATGCAAAATCACGCCAAACCCAATTTCACTACCTATATTCCAATTGTTCAGAATTCATAACTAGCTAAATGTTATACCGACATGCACCCTCCTACCCTTCCTGCAGTTTATTTTGTCAACATATTTGTTTTAGCTGGGACCACGAACTAAGCTGCCTGTCAGATTTCTTCTAACCTTGAGATTTTGAGGCTCAAGAGTTCTGAGATAGTCCAACAGTTCATTCTGTCTGTTTGAAGATTTTCTCATAACCTGGGGATTTAGTTCCTCAATTTCTGCTTCGAGTAGCTCAATGTATTTCACAGCATCAATTGCCTCGGGACCCAAAACATTGTTCCAAAAGTGCAAGTCAGAAAAAACCACACCTCAAACTCAAGTGTTCTACTACACAAGGGACAAAAGAGATATATGATTGCGAGGAATATAAAACAACTAAGAATGCAATTCCCTAATTGATCATAAGAAAAGTAGGCTGATCATTTAAGGCGATTGAGACAGATATTTGCCAAAGTTCATGCAAGAATATCAGAATCAGCGCTGTAAGGTCCTCCAGATAACATCTGGTTCACATGAATAGAATTTTTTACCAGGTTATACCTGAAAAATTTTTGCGAGTGAAAATTTTGTTTCTTATGCTTAACCTTTCCATAGATATATGGGGGATAAACAGAAACCCTTGCAATGACATTACCAGTTTTCCTTAATATCATCATACACTGAATTTTAATATCCATCGTGAAGATCACCAACATCACACTGATCAAGGATACTTTTGTTGAGATTAAATCTTATGTGGCATAATTTGTTGGTGCATGCAACTTATTTGAGATTTTCTTTTCATTTACCAACTACCAAGATCTAAATGGCAGGATAAATCTCAAGGTGATAAATACTAAACGTACTCGGAGTCATTTTCCGTCTCCGCATTTCATTAGCTATTCTCTTTCTCAACAGGATTCTAAACTAACAGCAAAAATAACCGACTGCGGAAATTGGGAGGAAAAGAATCTCACCTTCTCTTCTTTGGTTTCGGGAAGAGAAACTTGTTCCAAGCTCTGTGTTGCAATTCCAACCGATACTGGGCATTTCTGAACATGTACCCAGTCATCAAAACACTGTACATTAGCCGGGCCAAATTTTCAGCAACCTGGAACATAGAAATGAATGACAATGTTATATCACACTCCAAAGGCCTAATTCCAGCTCATAAATTGCTACCCTGGAAGCACTATCAAATTTACATGGTGATAAAAAAACCTACAGTGGTAACTGTAATGGCGAAAACTTGAGGGGGCAGAGTTCCGATCATATTTTTCACTGTTTGGCGCATAACATCGACTATCTAGATTAAGAACTTCACAATGTTAGGGGAGAAAATGCATTCAGCACAAGCAATAATTTAACCCAATTTTAAACTGCTCAAATTGTATCACAAGATAAAGAATGACCAAACAAATGGACACCTTTTAAGTATATAACTGGGCATAAATCACTAAAACCCACATACAGATTCCCACAAACAT